TAATTTGGATCTAAATGCTTAAATAATATGCTGATATGTATTGGGATTAATAGTTAGAAGACACAGTCATAGTCCAAAACAAGGTACCTTATGACTAAGAAGTTACAGTTTTACTGTTTCATATTTAGTATTTCTTTGGACTTCAGAGTTCAATTTCACAAAGCTGGAGAAAAAAAATTAGGTAACATTTCAATAACTGCCAACACACACAGTGTACATACTACCTCCTGAAATACTATTTTTGAAGCATGCAATCATATTCCTTTTAAAGCAATCTTCTAAACTGTTCTAGTCCAAAAGCAGCCATGTAGAGATCACCACTGTAGTCTCCTATCAGAATAGGAGTACACAGATGATGTATTTGAAGAAGCTAAGGAAGCAAACCTCTCTGGCTCCTAAATACTGATATCAAGATCCAGTGCTGGAATGCAAATTAAAACGGTTGATCAGCAGCTGGAATCCAAAGAGATTCCACAATAAAGATGAATTAAATCCCAGAACCCAAAAACTGCAGTCCTAAAGTCATGTGCTTTATCGTTACATCATGTTCTATTTTCAGTGAACCTGTTTGTGTGAAGGCAGCACACACCTGTTTTAACAACTGGAATGTGTGAACAGTCACACCATCGGGCAACTTAATAAGTGTGACGTAATTACTGTAATTTTCCCAAGAAAATGTACCATTTGAACATTTTCATGTTACTAGACCACTAATTTATCTTTAATTATTATCTCAAATGTTATTGATCCTTCCTCCCCATGTAGAGAAAGTGTGATGGAAAAGTATAGACACATCACGACTTATTGTATTTGCTCTTGAGGAGGGGTCAAGAATTGTAGTCAGTCTGGGTTAAGCAGATACCTGCCATTTCTGATCAGTGCACTAAGTATAAATGAAACTTGTTCATCTGCTAACACACCAGATTTCAACAGTGGAACCCACATGCTACATTACAAACCGAAGCCAGAGGTTCATAAATCCAAATGTCACACGTTACGTCTCAAAGCATTACCTACTGTCTCGCACTTAAAGATGCAATGTAACTAAAATATAACAGGGCAACTCTTAGGTCAAAACTATTTTATAATTTTTTTTGGTTTATAAAGTTTTTCAGCTGTACTATCTAATAAAAAAGGAAGGACTTCTAAATGTAATATTTGTTTAAAATATTTACCCTTTCTAAAGGAGAAATAATGGTTTATTTTACTTAAAGTAAATCCATAAATAAAAAGACTATCTCCTTGAAACCATGAGAGCCTAGAGGGACCTTCTCCATGCTATGAATATTCAGTTAATGTCTAGGAACATTTCAGCGCAATGGTCTCAACAAATTGTGAAAGTTGACTAACCCTGAGAAGTCACACTACAGCTTAGGATGTAGATTTTCCTGTTGACATCCCACAGTCAAGTAATTTCGGAGAGGTACTCAAACCAGTTTGAAATCATTGTGTCTGCAGCTTCCAATTGAGCCACTCTTCAATAGTCCCCTCAACTGACTGCACGGAAATAACCCCACTTATTCAGCTCCACAATGGCAAGAAAACTGCATGTTTTCACTTAGAGTCAAAGAAATTGGCAGTAAGGATCATTATTTTGTTTGAAAATGGGAAGAAAAAAAACCTCTCGACTTTCCTTTCAACTAACTTAGTGTTTTTATATTGAATTTCCTTTAAAAACCAGCCGAAGTGTACTGAAAAGTCCTCTGGCTTCTCTACTGCACAGTTTCTGATGATTCTTCTTACAACATCATTAGATTTCTCAGTGCAAAGTTCATTTTTTTGAAAGTGTAACTGCAGACATGCAGATCTTGGAAATATATATACAACTATTTAGTTGCCTGGTTCTACTGGAAGCTTAGCAATAGTTTCAAATTTGTTGTTCCTGTCTTCGATGTTATAGCCTGCAAGGAACAAATCTTCAATCTGCGTCAGAAACTCCTCAGTAACCGCAGCATTCCATTGATTTTCCAATGTTTTCCTCATGGACTCAAGCAGCTACAGTATAACAAAAAGAGAGGATCAACACGTTACCAACTTTTTTTTTGCAATCACTATATGTTAAGTACTGACTTAATCCAACAACCTGAATCCTCATGATTGCATCCTAAGAAATCACACCATTTGAGTTATACTCCTGTAATAAATCAGAAAGTCAGAAGAAGTAAAAAGCTTTAAAATAAAGCTGACAAGCCCGAAAATGGCAACTGATTCTAAGCTTATGATGTATGAATAAAAATCGTTGCACAGGATTTGCAACTTAAATTAAGTGCACACATCATTCCTTCACTGTACAGTACTTTAAGCAGAAGAAAACAGGATAATTTGAAATTCCAAAGCATGAAGTGTAAACACTGAAGATACAATATATTGAATTATTATCTTTAAAGTTACAGATTCAGGTTAACTTTAACTACTTTGGTATTTCACTATGGATAGATTTGCATAATTTTAATCTTCAAGAGACAAATCGCATTTATTTTAGTAAAAGATCCCAAGGCACTTCATAGTGTTAAATATTATTCTGATAATATTCCTGTCATTAACCGAGATATTCAGATAGGTGAGCAAGCTGGTCAAAGAGGTAGGTTTTAAGGAGCATCTTAAAGGAGGAAAGCAAGGTGGAGAGGAGTAGGGAGAGTATTTCATAGCTTACAGCCTTGGCAGAACACACCAAGGTCAACGAGGAATTTGAAAGCAATTAGAAATGAAAATTATGAAAACAAGGCATTTTCAGATCTAGAGCCAATGTAGGTCAGGTGATCAGTGAATGGA